TTAACCCTTAGTAAAGCCGCTGATTTCTCTGGGAACAATAAATAACCTGCTCTGAATGTTCTGGATTATTTTGTGGATCCTTTAATCACGACAGAGGAACTGCTCGGGTGGAAAAATCCAGCCATCATAAAAGCGTTTTCTGATGAAAGTCAGCTGTAGTAAGTGGGTCCCCGCGCTCTCTCTTGCAAGCGCTCTTTTTACCCCAGAGGCTGAAGAAATATCTTTCTTATCCTTGTTGACAGGGTAGGAAAAGTAAACAACTCTAAAAAACACCACTCATATAGCATGCAGATCATTACTGACTCCGTGCTTTGACTGGCCTCTGAAATTGGACTTGAGAAATTTGAGCGTGAGCACTCCAGAGATCAAAGGAAGCCTTGAGAGAAGCGGGAGGGGAGCGGAGGGAGGAACAGATAAGGTTAAACATTACATTTAAAATATGCCAGTGCCATCAGATGTGTACTTAAACAAGTCTGCCCTCTTTAAAAGAATCTGAAATGAAGTGAAGTGAATGAAATGAGTTCTGCTGAAACAATGCAGCCTGGCTTTTTATGAGAAACCAGGAACTGCAGTAGCATCATCATGATACAAACTTTCACCTTGAGAAGAAAGTACATGGAACTCTTCGCTGTTAGACAAAAGCGCAGAACCAAAGGGTGCTTTACACAGCTGAACAGACATGCCTCATAATCAGTTAGAGAAAGTACTTGATTTGTAGAGGTCTGCACATATTTCACAGATAAAACAAGACAGTTTGGCTACACAGTTTAGCCTGGCTCAGAATTGACGTGCTTACACTGAATGGGCTGTGCTTGCATTTCATAGGTTCCAGTGAGTGAGTTCCAAAAGACACTAGAGACTCAGTTTCTTAAAAGCCACCATTTCAGACTAAAACATAAAACGATTTAACGTGACAAAATAGATGTCTACAATGCTAACTACACTACACTGTGTCAGTTTCTCTATTTGACATTAACAGTTCTTCCTAAAGTACAACAAGGAAACAGGATGGGCAGCACAGATCTCATACCATTAAAGTTTCAGATCCTCTTTAAGTTTACATTTAATGCTTCCTGAATGTTGGTACTAGGCTACAAGACTGTCTTACAAACCTTACACAGCTTATTCTGATGGGACTGTTCTGTTCAGCTGCTCTTAAAAGAATGCTTAGGAGAAAAATCAATTATACACAATTTTCTACTTATACCAGATGCAGTCAATCAGTCAAGAAATGCCTAAAGTTCAAATTTTGCTTCTTTAGTGGTGAAGTTATGAGGATAACATTGCTAACAAACATTAGAAGTCAGGTCACCCAAATCTTAAATACATTTCCAAAACTTCCTTGACTCACTCAAACCACATCCAGGTTTTTAGTGAGCTCACACAGATTTATGTATGTCATTAAGGGCACAGAAAGACTTGCAAACTATAAAAAAAAAAAACTTCTCTATGTACACAAATGGTGCAAGCAGCCACTTCAGACAAAAGGCATTGTACCAAAAATGCAGTGCCGGAAGACAGAACTGTGACATGAGACCATTTGTATCATGGTTTTCAGTCTCGGTTTTAGAATCATTTCACCCCTATACACCTTCGCGTGTTGACGTTGACAAAAACTTTCCAAGTTAAATATTACAGCTATGGCAGTGAATAATGAGCAAACAGAGCTGAATATGCGGCTGTTTATTAGAAGGAATAACATTAGTGCAGCTTGAATGCCAGCTAAACATTTTGGGAAATGGAAACTGGGGAGCAGCGAAGCTCTGATAAACAGCGGGGGGCTGTCACTCTATTCTTAACTTCCAGTTTATTGCACTTTAGGTTTGTTTTGACCTTTTTTACATCGGTAACGGTAGCTGTAACTTAACAGCTAACCCTAACTTATATTTTTAAATTATTTTGATTAGGTGTTTGTTTCAGCTGTGTGTTATCCATCGGTTGCACAGGTTAAGATTTCCTAACTTGAGATAAGATGCTGTAAGATAAGATAAAATTCCAAAACTACGATATGATTTGCTTCTGTAATCTACATTTGTGAAAAATCATATCTTGACCTTGTCAGATCTTAATTTAGGACAAAAGATACGAAGTTTCTGTAATACGGTCCCTGGTAAATAAACAAAGATAAATGTCACCAAGCACTAGTTGCTGTGTTAAAATAACTAATCAAATTGCTTCTAAACTTGCTAATAAATTTGAGAACAAATTCTTGCTCTCTCCTCCAGAAAACTCCACTTTAAGGCATTATAGGCTTCAGGAATTTGAGTAATAAATGTGAACACAGCTCATTTCTCTTGCTTAGAAGACGGCATTGACAGCAGAGCAACCATACCCACACACACACACACACACACACACACTCACACAAACACACACACACACTCACACAAACACACACACACTCACACAAACACACTCACACACACACACACAGAGGATGCATTCAGCTTTAATAAGCTGGGTAACATCCCCTCCTCAGTGCATCCACACATGCAAAGCCTGAAGAAACAGGGAAAGCAGGCCAAATAAGAGAACTTTTCACACAAGTCTACAGCCATGGTAGCACAAGGACATGTGTTACAACATCCTTCCACTTTTTTACATAATTTATTAACAGTTGCAATCCTGCTGCCTATATCACCTGGAATCTATACAATCCTGAATGTGCATACAGTGATATTTGCTCTGCTTTTAAACGCTGTATAAAATGTACTGTAACGCATCACTGAAAAGATGAAATGAATGCCATAATAAAATGCCTTCCAAAATGAAAACATGCTTTTCTACTAACCAAAAGATGTAAGCTGACAGGAATTCACTGTGCCGCTGAAAAAAAATCAAGATTCTTTATATGGGCTTTTATATTGCAATGAAAATATTTTGCCATATAACCCAGCCCTAGAATGACCATAGGCATCCAGCTGGCATTTAAGTGGAACAATCTTTAGAAAGGCACGGCAGACAGGAGGAATGAATGCATCTACACAAAGGCCCCGGCTCCAGCCCAGTGAGAGATGGCAGATTTTACCTTTTGTTTGGAATAGGTTTCAATGACACCAGAGCAGCTTATCACTGCTGCACTAACACATGACTGGAACTCATATAAGCATGGCAGCAGAGCAAGGCAGGGCACGGCTCCAGCAATTATACCATAAACACCTTCACTGAGACTAACATGTACTAATATGGCCTTACAGTCAGGTTCAGAGTTGGGGTTACACTTTAATACAGAGCAAATGTGGACCCATGATGAAAGAACAGGTCTGATTTTTTTTTTACATGAGAAGAAAAGTCAAAGATTCTGATGTTTCATGGAATAATAAAGGACAATCTAGCTAAATAACATTATATATATATATTTATATATATATATATATATATATATATATATATATATATATATATATATATATACACACACACACACACACACACACACACACACATAGCTCCCCTTTAACTGAAAAATCTAGACTGGCAGAATAAAAAAAATATAAACACAGACTGTATACAATTTTTAAAAAAGATGTAAACAGTGTCATTCAGAGTGATTTGATGCTAAATTCCTCATTCTAGAGAGACTTACTGAGTTAGAATTGTTCATGGTGATAGGAACCAGACGTTCACCTCTAAAAGCTCACTCACAGAACGTTATTACAGGACATGTTTATGAATAAGCTGCCTCATGTCAGAGACAATGTTTTACGATAGTTTTGTGATAGTTGTGAAGTTTTAGCCTAAAACGTCTCGATACACCATTTATTTTAATCCTTCCATGGTAGATGGATAAATGCAGGGCGTTGTGAGACAAAACTTACTTTGTTCAGATGTTTCATTATTTTACCATCATCGACACTACATATAAAAACTCAGAAGCCCCCTGTACGTTCACTGGTGGTGTTGGATAGTAAATAAAATGGCTGTATGTGTGTTGTAGACATGGCGACCCCAGCTCCTATTACCACCACTTTAAAGAAATCTGAGTGTGTAACTTTGTCTACAATGAACCATTTTACATCAAACCACTCTGAATGACTTTGTTTACAGCACAACAACAGAATTATGTAGAAATTTTGAAAAATCTATGGAGTTCCCCTTTAAATTAAGCATATCTAACAAGCATTTATACTGTGGGTGTTGGTGTTAGGGGACATAAAGTAAAATGGAGACAGTGTCATAGTAATATAGGGCCTAATGACAAAAAAGCTTTTTTAATGAGTTTATTTGAATCTTTTTATGTATTTTTCAGAGTACTATCTTTCGCTCATTTTAAACAGAATACACTATAGCGAGAAGCTGCTGAAAATGCAATGAACAAGAGCTCCTATAGTTCTCACGTCACCTAAGAGCGAAGACTACCTGAATCCACCCTACATTTATAACACATACCATCCGCACATACATTATGTTCCAGGTTGGGCTTTCACTAACGGGCGCGTGCGCTAGTCTCGAGACTGCTAGTTACTTCTAAACAAAGCCTGTTCCAAAAAAAACCCTTCAGATCTGCGTTATTTAGCTCCCTTTAAGCGTGTAAAGTGCTGGATCGTTTGGCTCCTGTTGCTGCCGTGATCGCCCCCACCTCTCAAGGTGTAGCTAAAAGAGCGTAACCTACTTTTCCCGAGATGTCATGGCAGACGCGAACAACTTGTAGCCTCTCTGTGTGTGTATGTGCGCTTGTCTTGCTATACTTGTGAGGACCATATGTACTCACAAAGATATAACATTATGACAATTTCGCACAAGTGAGGACATTTTGTTGGTGCTGTGCTGTTTTCACCACACATTTATGTTTTATCAGAAAATCCAAAAGAACAGAAAAATGCCGTTTGGGTACTGAGGTTAAGGTTAGGGTTAGGTTTAGGCGTAGTATTACTTGGGTACAGCATACAAAAAAAAAAAAATAGAAATCAATGGAAGTCCTCACAAGGAATGTGTGTGTGTGTGTGTGTGTGTGTGTGTGTGTGTGTGTGTGTGTGTGTGTGTGTGTTTGGCGAACTCACCTTTCGTGCACATGATAGCGATCGCGTAAAAAGTGCCTATTCTGCTCGGTAAACGAGTCCATGCCGCCGTATCGGAGCATTCGGCGGATTTTCTGCTCCTCTTTGGTCCGCGCGCTGCGTTCCGTGCCGGTGCGTCCATAGCTGGTGGTCTCCAAGCGCGCGCACGTTACACACACCGAAACCGTGGGCTTTCCGTTTACCGCACTAACACTGAACAAACACACCCGGTCGCACTCAATGCCACCTTCTTCCCCAGCGCTGCCGTAGCGGAGCAGGCGGGAGTCAGAGTGAGAGCAGTGCTGAGCTGTACTCCTCCATCAGGACACTCTGGGGTCGTTAATCCCAAGCCGCACGCGCTCCTCTCTCTCGCTGCCCTGTTCCGACCACTCGAGCTCGCCACGGTGCCCGCGCTGCATCCCCCTGCCCCCCCGCTCCGCCCCCATCCCTCTCTTTCCATTCGCCAGAGCTTCCGGTGTTGGAGCGCGAATTGATTGTAACGAGCGCAATGCTGCCGCCACGTGGCAGCGCGAGGAAAGAAGGAGGGTCCTGTTCGCCCTGCTGCCCCGGGTCCATGTACATAAAACACCTGAAGAGTGATCTGAGATCAGTTTTTGAGATCATGACCTTACAGGTGGGAATCCTGCTGCCTCCAAATCGTGTCGGATATATCGTATTTACGAGCTGAGCGCACATGAACTCCACCACAGTGGAAACTCGGATTATTCGATGAGCCCCGAGTTTCAGAGTTGGGGGTCGAGTCAGCAAAAAGCAGTGATAGCCTCTGATGGTTATATTTAAGTTATTCAGCAGTCACACATGAACACTGCAGGCTAAAATCATCCACTAGCGAAAATACAGATACAAAGACGTGTTATAAGATGCTTCTACCTGGATAAAACATTAGTCCTCTAATAGGCACCATCTGCTATGCAATTCTGCAATAACGCAAAATAAACGGACTGTCTTTACCAACAGAAAAACACAAGTAAATGTATAACATTATTTCCCGCACATCTATCCTGTCTCCGACCAAAACCACTTAAGTCGTGCTTACGACCTTAAAAGTCGTTCGAGTTTGACTGCCGAGGGACCTGAAGGCAGCATCTGATCTAAGATCAGCCCTGTTACTGTCAGCGGGGGAAGGTCGTAGCTAGATGAACCCTTGAAGGAGCGATTGAGGGTTCGAGTGAACACAAGTGTTGATTTCAGCAGAAGAACTAATGAGTTCCATTTAAACCCCTAAAAACCATTTAAAATACGTAATATTTCATAAACTATATCCAAACTGGGATTTGTTTAGGAAACTAGTCCATCTGTTAACGCTACATAACCGCTGATGTGCTATGTCTGCTAATGTTAGCTTACTAGCGTAGCGAGCTAAAGGCTACACAGCTCACAACAATAAAAACAAAGGCAACACAATTTGGCTTTATACCACAGCCGATATCCAGTCAATGCAATTAATTAAATACTTTAATATTTTGTATTATAAAGTTTGCGTGGGTGACCGTTGGTTGGTGTCCTGTCTCCCCTTGTGCTGTGAGTGGCCTCTTGTGTGTAAAGGCACGATCACCTCTGAGTGGTAACGTGAAGGTGACGAGCGCGTGTTCAAAAAGGTACTGAAACGAGGCTACTGGACATCTCAGCATTTGACTACAAGACATATATAAAAACCATAACACAAACCTTTGGACATATCGGGGCACAATGTATCATCCTATGGCTACCCAGCCGGCATCTGGTTTTAGGCTGACAGTCTGCAACTGAGTAGTTGGACGTACTTCTAGATAGTTAAGAGTAACATTCAGTTGTGGCAACATCAAATGTATCCTATACAAACACGCATGTACGCTATATACAAAATGGTCACTGACACCAATGTCAAAAAGTGTTCCAGGAGTGTGAGAAGAGAATGAGCCTTTGCCAAACCACAGTGTGGTTTAGTAGCAATAATATACAAGTAATACCAGTTTGCCATGTTGGAAGCAGGTAGCACGCAAAGCAGAACACTGGAATAGGAATGGTGAAGGGAACCTGACACCATGTATTGCACTAGGATGGGAACAGGAAGATACAGTACGGGCCTTCAGGTCTTTACAGGTACTTAAAAAGCAGGCAGGGTGACCACAGGGAGTAATGTACATCTGCTTTACAATGTTTCTTGTTGACACTAGTAGTGGGGAAAAACTCCAAATATTAGGAAACTCTTTCTTCACACAGTTAATCCAGTAGTTGATTTAATAGAATGGAGTTGGTAGGCCTAAAAATAAATCACCTGATCTACAGTGCCTTCTATGTTATAAAAAAAATATTACAAACATAATACAAACAAATATATATCCCAATAATTGTCATTTAAGACCTCAATGTTCCAGAAATTAAACTTTTTTCTAGGAATTAAACTTTTTCCCATGTAGATCTGTTTCTCTTAAACTGTTGATCAGCTTCTCTTTACCATGTGAGATGCTTACCTAACCCACTTAACTGAAATATTAGTCATCAAAACCTTACAGTAAAATGATTCACATCTAATTGAGCACTGCCTCAAAGCTTTTAGCAGCTTTTTTGTGACACAACAGTTGTAATGTATGTACACGGAGCCTCAGAAGTAGATCATAATTTCCTGCTTTATTTATCATTTGTCAGCTGACATGTTGAAGCAGAACTGGTAGATCAGGGGCTCCTGTGTGATTTCTATGACTTTCAGCCAAGAAACACACAGTATCTCCAGCGTCAAGCTCTTCTACACCAGTGTTGAAAAATTCATCCGTGAACTAATGAATCAGCCTGAGAGGACCTGCTGTCTGCACAGCTGTCTGACAGAGTGGGTGTGGGAGAACGACAGATCCAGAAGGGAAGCTGGAAAAAGCAGTAGGCGCTGTGAAGTTTAAAAACACTGAGGAACTGAGGAAAAATTCGATATTTTATAACCTGCCTCACAGTTTTCACAGGCAAGCTGAAGTTCACCTGGGAATTGACTGACAAATGTATTTCACCAGTTTCAGAAAAAAATCTTTTCCATGGTTTTACTATAAATAAATGAGAAATGCAGTTCTTAAACTGCTATTTTCCATACATTCTTCTCTCAAATAACTTATCATGGGGGAAAAACTGAAGAGAGACTGATCAAACTTACAATGCAACATATTTTAGAATTGTTTATTCTCACAACCACCACACCATTTCTTTTTACAACATAAAACAGGAGTCTGCAAAGCATAGATGGTGGACTTTAAAGGAAAGAAGTAGCATTTCTGCCGTTGAGTCATTCAACTAAAGCCATGCTGTGCTCCCATATAAAACAATCAATGTTGACCTTTCCCCATTACCACAGAAAACCCTTCACCTGTATAAGTCACTGAGGCTTTTAACACATTCAGATATATCAAATAGCATTACAGTATAAAACATCATTACTAAATCAAACTAGGGAAAATTATAACTGCACCTACAACTGTTAAAAGGGTTTTGGTGCTTCATAGAAACATGCTGAACAAAGAGAACCCACAACATTATTTACTTATTAGGACAGCTCTTGAAGTACTTACAATGTGCAGCTGTACTGCTTACGATATCATTGCATTTTTTTATTTTAACTACAACTGCACTCAATAGAATATTAGCAGTATTTTGCAGTGTAACAATGGCTGCAGTGTTTCATATTTATCATGTAAACATTTCAGAAATGACCTTACCCTGAGAAAACTTCTCCATTGTACTATTCATTTGACATACAGGGTAATTAATCAATATCTCACTTATAATGCATAGTTTTCCTAAAGTTGCATTTAGTTTCCCACAATATGCCATATTTAGGCCACATTTTCACACATTAAAACTGTCTAGTAATTGGAACATACAAAATCCCATCACATGTCATCTTACTGTCCATATGAATAATATATATATTTTTAAAATAAAAGCCCATTCAACATAAAAAAATAACCTACATTTAACCATCATGATCACGTTTACAGTAGTAGCACAGTAATAACAGTGGGTGAGATTACCTTGATCTATCCATTTTAAGAACTTCATTTAACTTCTAAAACATGACATACAGTAAAATAAGCTCATAATCTCAAGCTCTTAACAATTAACAGTTAAATGACAAGTACTGCAGAAGAACAGCAAAGTCTTTCATGTCAAGCAGAAACCCGTTCATAATATGCTTTATCAAGTCAAGTCCTAAATCTTAAGCTGCCTTTCAGGAAAAACTCATTAGATTTCTACAGAGTAACAGAAAAGTCCTTTATGTCAAGCAAAAATTCATTCGTAACATCCTATGCAGTCACATCCCTTAATCTCAAGCAGCATGATTAACTTGGCCTTCCAGTCTGTTCCATTATATGTCACATGGAAGAGAAAAATGATTTAGCATCACTGACAGTATGAATTCCAATATAAAATGACTCACTTCTGCTTAGCAGATATTTCTCCATAGCTACATTAAAATTTGTCTTGCCCTCATTATTTCCCTCAGTGTGGACCCAGGAGGTTTTATACCTACGTTACACAAGCCTCTATTATGGGTAGGCTAGAATACTCCCCAAATAATGTAATGCGTTCTGCAGCATTCATTATTTCATAATATTCCTGTCTACAAAGATCTCCCAGCTCATCCTTTACCCAAAAGAAAAATGAATCTGCAGAGCAATATCTCCTCTGCAGGATATAGGAGTGTAGGTACAGTGACAGATAGGACCAACACAACACAATGAATAAAGAGCAAGAAGTGTAGGAGACTGCCTGACTGCCCTTTTCCCTGATAAATCCATGCATCAGCACCACTTACATCAGGGTGAAACACACCAAAAAAGGGAGCCAGAAACTAATAAAGGGATAAAAGCAAAAATATTTACAGCAATCCATCAATTCTCACATAAAACAAATACCAGCAATTCCCAACCTAGATTGGTTTATATCATGCACAACCATAAAATAAGTTAATAAAAATCTACTATATGAGCCAAGAGACAGGAGCTGGTAAAATACAATACAATACAATACTCAAAAATGCCAAACTTACTAAGGGTGAACAAAAGTTGTACGGTTCAGGTCACGACAACAGGTCTTCTTTCATTTCTATCCACATTAACATTTTAGGGTAAAGTATTCCTCTAAACTGACCAGTGCCTTTCATAATCAAAAGCAAGGACACAGTACAGTAGCTTACCATGGCACAGATGAATAATAAATCTGACCCAACAAACTGACTTACATTATTGTACAATTTACATAAATGTGATCTAACCTTGTGAGACATATATATTTTGGCAATGTGAAGGCTCACCTAGGACAGACTCATCTTTGGCTGAAGAACATGGCTTCAAAAAAAAACAAAAAAAAACAAAGATACATACTAGAAACATGACACTTTATGGGGCTCACACAGAGAAAGCATGAACATCAAAACCGTCCTTAACGTAAAAAGCATCTAGAAAGTATTTTACAGTATTGAGAGTGGGAGAGTGCAAACCTGCCACTGACTTTGGACAAATTATTTCTGGACCAACAGACTCAAGCTGCAGGTATTTGAACACAGCAGAGTTCTTGCAGGTCCAGCTCTTTTAAGGGTCTTCAGAGAAGAGGTTCAGGCATTTGGAGAGTCATGGTAAGGTCATGGTGAGATCATGGTGAAGTCAAGCACGGGAGGGTACGGGAGGGGCCTCCACTCAGTTCCCACTGTACAAATCAACATTACTGGAGCTCAGTCCACGACTCTGTCTCAACCTATTTATCCCAGAGCTCTGAGAGAGAGAGAGAGAGAGAGAGAGAGAGAGAGAGAGAGAGAGAGAGTGACAAAGAGAGAGGGAGAGAAAGACAGAGGGAGCGAAAGCAAAAATTCAGGAAAAATATTAGAAAAGAGAGAGTGGACATTAAGAAAAAAGGAGGGAGGTAGAGTAGAAGACAGAGAGGAGAGAGAGTGACAGTGTCATGTGTTGCTTGAAGTTTGCATCACCGTACCCTTTAGTCAAGGAGCAAACATTTCACCGTGTGCTCATCTCAGCTCATCTCTCCCCTGCTGACTGGACCCTGAGGGCCTGTTCAAAATTGATAACCTGCATCCAGCTGTCATCTACTACTGCAGTGCCTTTAAAAAAGTTTTCAAATCAAAGGCTTTCTCCATCGCTCTCATCTCTACATGCTGATAAAAGAATTGGCTCTACAGTAACACACAGAGACAGGACTTTGTCTGTACTATAACTAATGTGTTCCATAGAGTCACTTGTGGTGGAGTACCTGAAAGGGATCATCACCGGTCTTGTTCAGGTAGTTGAGGGAGGCAGCTCGCTTCATACTGGAAAAAAAAGAAAAAGGGATTAACAATAATAATGAGACACAGTGAGTGCCATGGTCAGCTCTAGAGGAGCCAGAATAACTAGTTTAAAAGTACTTAACAACCCAAATTTTGAAAGAAAAACAAATCTGAGCTCATAATTAATGTCAAAACCCAAAGTCTGCCTGTAGTTAATTAGTTAAACATTAATTTCATTATGTCACATATTAACTTTTATAGAATTTACTATGTAACATGATCCATCACACACAGTGAGGCAAAAGTGTGTGCGCTTACTTGGTGCTGCGCAGCTCGGGAGGTCCGTTCCCCTGCAGTTTCTTCACCAGCAGCTCACTGCTCCTGCGCAGGACGTCCCTTATCTTCCCCAGAGAACCACTCCTCTGTAGAGTTCCATTACCATCCTTCAAACACACACACATTAAACTTTTAGTCATGTTTACATGCATGCACAGACAAATGTATAATGTTTGTTTCTATAATTCATTTATATATAATGCAAAGTTGTATGCACATGTATGGGCACTCCAGGCTAAATTAAATATTTTTGTTGATTTCTGAAGAGAAAAGAAGTAAATACATCTTTGCGGCATTCTATTAAAAATAAATAAAATGGTAAATGTGGATTGCGCAAAAGATGGCACACTTTACAGAGTAAAAATGGAACTTTTTGGCCACAATCACTGATCAACGGTATACTTGGGATTAAACACGTGCAGCATTTGATGAAAAGAACACTTCTCTAACTGTTAAGCATGGGGGTGGATCTATTATGCTTTGGGGTTGTGTGGCAGCCAACAGCACAGGAAACACTGCATGGGTAGATGGAAGAATGGATTCACCTAAATATCAGCAAATTCTGGAAGCAAATGAGACACAATCAGCCAAGAAACTGAAAGGAGGCTGGCTTCTACAACAGGACAATGATCCAAAACATTCCTTTAAAATCCACCATGAACTATTTCAAGAAACACAAGCTGATGCGTTTGAAATTGCCCTCACAGTATTCTGATGTGAACATCACTGAAAATCTGTGCATAAGTCTTAAACACGCTGGGCATGCAAGACAGACCAAGAATATCGCAGAACAAGAAGCATTCTGGAAGGAAGAGTGGATGGAAAAAAGGTGTTTGCAGTTGTGACATCTGCCAAAGAAGGTGTCTGTATTAAGTACTAAGAAGTGATTTATTATAGAGCCCACAATTACTACTTTTTTTTCTATTTTTTTATTCTTCAAATAAAAAGCAGCAATGCATTAACTGTGCAATGACAAAATGTGATCTTCACTTCAAAATTCAACAAAATATTGAATTTTACCCAAACTTTTGCATACAACTGTATATAAATGAGCTGTGTATATATTACATTTATATACACATATATAGAGCTCACTGCTATTCTTAAAACAAAGATTAGACTTTTACTGAATTTACCACATTTCTACACATAGAAACTCTGTAGCACACAGCTAACCCAAACACATATTTTTAAAAATGCACACACCGATTCGCACTCTGTCCATCTTTTTCATTCTTTACACACACACACACACACACAATTCTCAAGACCTGCCTACACTACTATTCTGTAAAAAATGTTTATTATAGATTTAATACATTAATGTGCATATACACAGAGTCACGACAGAGTAATGACAAATCTTTCCAGACTGTAGTGTCTTGAAATGCCCAGTAATACTCTATGATGCAATGTCCAAAACAGCAATAACCAACCAAAATGTTGGGGGAGGCCTTTTCTGACTGCTAAGCTGCCAACATGGCAGTATTTATTTAAATGTTATTTCTGCTACATTTACAGAAAATGGGCAGAGTTAATGCAGTGTGGGGCATTTTTAACAAATGTAAAAAAAAGAAATTAATTTGATTTGCTGATATATGGATCATTTTACCAAATCACTTCAGAGTCAGTTCAAAACATATTTCAGACTTTTCACTGACTCGGGCTTTAGAATAAATTAATTTTAAACACGTTTATTTTATAAAAACAATGTTGAGTACAACTCAAAAACTTCAATTTACTTTAAAACAGTGGAATCTAACTGCTCACCATGTGGCCACTAGGGACAGGGATGCAGCCTCAGTTCCTGCTCAAAAATGCAGAGTGGCTAAAATAAGGCGCCGCCTACGGATTAACACTGTGTTTTGGTAGTGACATGAAAACATGGGAGAGTATTTTTTGTTGATTTTTTTTTTTTTATTTAAGTGAACCTCATAAAAAATCTAAATCCTTCAACTTCACTTTGAAAGGAATCAGAAAAGGTATTCTAAAATGTGGAAAAAGTATTATTTTCACAAATATATCTAATATTATACATATCTTTATAACACAAAGTTGAACTGCTTTTAATTCACTAGGTCTATTCTTTACATAAGGGGAAAAAAAGAAAATGAATACGTATATCATGACACCTGTACCATAGGCTGCACTAATATTCACAGGCTACAGTGCTGAGTGGCCTGCCTGCCCCCCTTCAAAATGACACTATGATCATAACACCTACATTTTATGCTGAAGATGGCCTTACCATACTGTTTGGCGTTTGGTTTGAAATACTTCCTCAGTCTTTTACACATGTTCACATGCACTGAGCACATTATACCCTAAAACTACATCTTTCATTACACTAAATCTGCTCAACAGCTGTTGTCTGATCAGTACAGCAAACACACTATTCTGTGCCTTGATCACAGAAACACTGCCATACACACTAATAGGTGTGTACACCCCCACACATTGAAAGTTACAGGTAAACACACAGATGCATTTATTTATATTCTAGCTGCTATGTTGCCACATTGAGTCTTTTTAATACTATTAGTTCGGCTGCAGTTTTAATACCATGCAGTTGTGTCATTTGATTTGTGTGCTCAGGGAACAACACTGAGATCCTAGTGTGAATAACTGCCTTTTGTCCCAACAACGAGTGTCCTGTCAAATTTATGCAATTATCAAATAAATTCTAAAATATATACAATATAAAATATGTAAGCAATTACTGTGGAGTAAATTATAAATTATGTCCTGGGATTTTTTAATGAATTTGCAAAAACAGTGACTGGAGCGGCCAAGCTGGTATATATTCAACACCAGCAGGGGGCGGACAGCTCTAATGAGCATACTGAAGACTACAAGGACATTTTGCCCTTCTTTCTAATATGCACAGAGAAAATCACACACACAACACACCTTTATGCCAAAAGTCAGAATTTACCTGTAACACGAACGTTCTTCAGCTTCATTTGCATTAAAGGTCTCATATCGTGGAAAAGTGAATTTTCCTCACTTTTTTTAAATAAATTAATTTTGATGTATATAAACACTGCTAAAATTACAAAACATTACCATTAAAAAAATTAAGCGGCAAAAATAGCATGTGTTTAATTCATTGTTCCTGTGATGTCACAAAAAACAACACACTAACATACAGTTGTATGGAGAACACTGAATACACCTTGTCAAATGACACTACTGATTTTCTAAGTGAAAATGAGTATTCATCTTCTACAGAGAACACAGTTAAACATAAAATCTGCAAAATTTAGTGCACAATTCCTATTTATTTGTTGTGTTTAACATGTTGAAAAAAATAACTTTTTAAAATGTACCTTTGCACAAGCCACTATTCCATGTTTTTGGTGTTAAATTCAAATTACAGTAATTGTGCTTTACAACATGCAGAAGTGGTTCTCTGTAGAGGATGTGTTAACTTTACTTAGAAAATCAGCAAAACATGCCATTTGATCAATGACACCCAAACGTTTGCATATGACTGTATATCCACCTGTTTAGCCTACGGCAGTTTAGCCCTGCCCATTCATATTTATATAATGAATATATATGATTATAATTTTTCAGCTCTGAGTGCTTTTTCAATAAGGCCCAATACAGGGCAGCCAATCAGAACAGAGATCATTTACATATAACAGTCTTAAAGGAACAGTATCAAAAGAAGCCTGTTTAATTTTAAGGGCTATGAGAAGATGGAAAATGGTTATGTAAAAACTGTGACTATATTTAGTACATAAAACCACACCAACATAATAAGCGAACATCAGAGGAAAATATAAAATGTAGAGTATGATCTGTGTAAGATTTAGAAACATTCCCTAGCTTTTTCATTTCAATAGGAAAGGATATGGGCTGAATGTACTCTTTATGAGGAGAAACCACGGCCAAACCTTCACAAATGAAAACCTTTATTTGAGAATATCAAGTGTTGATTCAACAACCGTCACAATGCAGAAGGATGAATATATATATGCAGTTCTACTCTCTACGCTAGTGTCTACAGAGGTCAATACTACCGCGCTAGAAAACCCAAAGGTACAGTGTATATTTATATATATTTCAATAAAGGACAGCTCAATAAATAATACACATTCCACTAAACACAACAATATTGTCTATTAGAATAACATGATATATGTTTGTTCACTTTTACACCCTTCACTACCTCTGGGAGGTCTCCTGGTGAGACTGTCATGTGCATGTATCCGTGAGAAGAATCAGAAAGGTGTATCAATGAATGAAATGATTGAAATGTGTCCAACTCCAAGGACGTAATTACACAAGTGCACTGCTGACATTACATTCAGTTTGCAAGCTGAACCTTAGTGTTCTCTACTTTTGCTTGAGTTGTGGGGCTTTTCAGTGAACCTGATGAACATTGGAGTCAGACACAGTAGAGTTTTTTATTTCTTTAAATGGTGAATGACATTTCTCATCATTTTTTTTTTCCATAACCAGGACAAAAGTGTCATGTAGTTCGTTCTAGACCTGCAGAGTCTCGTTGTCTGGAACAATGTGTTTAGGCCACAACTACAGGCCACAAAATCAGCATTTTTATACTGATTCTAATGCGTTACGAACCTTAATTTAGCTATGCATATGTCTTGTTCAGTTGCTACAACAAGATACACTCTGAGTACATAAAAGTAGTTCGAACAAAAAAGTGAACTTTGGGTCAATGAAGTATGTCGCTTTAGAGGACTTTGCTAAAGTTAGTGTGGTATTAAGTCTTGTCATTCCCTTTTCAATGCTTCGCTACACTGGTAAACATTAAAGTTAAATACTAACTACACAAAGCAGGATCAGCCAAGACGCTGCCTGTTGGCACTCCAGCCTTGTAATGGATCAGGCCTGTGGAGGGGAGGGCTTGGAGTGGACCTGCCTGCGGCCATGCTAACATCAGCAGTTTGGTATTATTTATTTATTCATTGGTGCTGAAAAACATCTGCAGCATTGTCCCACAGAGCAGGTAACTGAGGATCAATTCATAGATTCAGAGCTGTAGCTTTACCAAGCTAGTGTTTCAAACCAAAGACACTGCAAGCATTAAGAAATACTGTAAACATAATGTGTGAATAAAAAAAAATTAACACTT